GGTTACTCGTAGTATTTTACTTTTGCTTAGTATATTAATAATGAAAAGTTCTGTATCATCTGAACAGTAAACTAGACTGCTTATTACTAAACAACTCGAGAGAAAAAGTGATTGTAATGTTTACAATTAAAGTAGCATTTAGAAATGAATTTCCATTGTGTACATCTCTTATTTTTTACAATTTTGAATCCGCCAACAACTTGATGACTTAAATCTGTGTACTATATATTTTTTTTATCTTTTATGCAAATACTAAATGGGTAGCGATATATGACATTTACATAAGTCTAATTAAATCTTATCGTTTATGTAAAGAAGAAAGTAAACACGCAATGTAACCTTAGGATTTATTGCTGCTTATGTAAAAAGTTATAATATAACTTGATAATATATTGCGAATGTATTTTACTGTTTTTTTTTTGTATCCTACCAGTTGTCGATTTTGGCTTTTAAAATTAAAATTTGATATCGAAATTTAGACTCCAATTAATTTTTTTCAATTAATAAAATGGATATTTCTTTAATGGTATCGCGAAAAACGAGGACGGGCAATAAGTTAAGTGGTGGTATTTGCTTTTCGATGCCCGTCCAAATTAGTTTTAGTCTCACTTGTTACTTCTTATTTTCGTGTAACCAACCTAATCTTGTGTTTTTTCTTATATTGCCCTCGTAGATTGTTATCTACGCGAACAAATTTTTTTTAAACATTTGCTTCGGTATTTCAATTGGTCGTCCGATACACTTTTTGGATGAAATGGTATTAGTGGTTTAACCAGCACACATTTGACCTCACGTCGTCTAGTAAGTGTTTCGTTTATCGACGCCTGTTGCAACGAATTGTCTGGTCCGTACATCGAATGAAAAAAAAAACGTTTACTTTTTTTCTACGGAGCAACATGTTAAACGACCCTCTCCGCCTCGTTTCCTTGACCTCATCCCTAACCTGCAGCGTGTCGTCGACACTCGATAACGCGGAAAGATGTGTCAGTTGATCGAACTGAATCGTTTAAAGAAATTCGTTTAAATGTATTTCTACGTTGATTGGCTTTTACAAAATAAAAAAGTGCCGTGTGCATTGAATNTTACAAAATAAAAAAGTGCCGTGTGCATTGAATATGTTATGTGTCGTTTAATCTTCGTGAACCGCGTACTCTCCTATTCAATCACCTATTAGTGTATCTAACTAGCTGTATCGCGATGCATTATATTATTAAAGGAGCGCACACGTCGTGATGCTGTTCAGGGGGAAAGAGGAGAGTAGCGCCCGACTGGTGAGTCGCCGCCGCCGCGCGGAACGCCAGCAACACCCGCGTCGTGGCGCGCCGGGCCACTCGGTCACCTAGTGTTATCCTCTACAGTGTGTTGTGCTGTGCTATAGTCGGCGCGCGTCCCGTCGTTTAGTGTGCCGTTTGTTTGTGGTCGCGGCTCCTAAGCACACTGTCCATCACGCGCTCTCATCTTTCCTACTCTGCGGACATAATTTATCTTCGAATATTTTTATACCAGCAAATTTCGTCAGCTCTAATTGATATTGTTGTTTTGTATTACATTATTGAACGTGTCAGCCGTTGACGACGACGCCCGATCATAACGCGTTGTGTATATCGACCGTTCGATGGTGGTGATGTGTAGCATGTTATTATTGCTGTCTTTCGTCCAGTCCCCGTACTGCTACGTCCGTCCCGCTGTACCTGCCCGCTGCCGTGCCGAGAACGTGTCATTCTGAAGAAACAGAGGCCGTTGTCACTGCCATTAATCTTCATAACGTAACAAGCGTAAAATCTGTACAGTAATCACGGTTGTTGTTGTTGTTCATTAGGTTGTGCAACGGGACGACGTCATAAATATAGTTCACCTTAAGCCTATACTACAGGTGAGTGCGAAGTACTTTTAAACTCACGCGAACGTTGTACCCCTTTTTGCACCCAAGGAACTGTCATGGTTCTCTTGAGCTGTGAGTAACTGGCGGGTGGGTGGGTCGAGGTGAGAGTTCTGACGGTGTAGGCGGCAATCCCGCGGTGCTACTCGCGTTCACCCCTATTATCGATTGTCGCTCAGATTTCCGGAAAAAACCCGTAGAGTCTATTTCGATTAAATGGATTCAGGTAATATCGAAGAGGAGGCTAATCGTTATCATAAAACCAATTTAGCATATTTGACCGCCGAGAGATTATCTGAGAATGGCGACCGAGAATCGATCGAAAGCATACGGAAGGTTTTACCCAACGTGTAATTTTTTATTTGTTCCTGACAAATTTCAGAATGTAATTTTTTTTTTTCTTAAAATGTCTCCATCAATTAACGTGTATTTTTATTTTATACTCTCTTTTATTGGTATATATTAAAGTTTTTGTGACTTTTTTTTTTTCGTGAAAAAACTTTTTAATTTTTTAACAAAAACAATTTTCTAAAATTAATTTAATTGATTAAAAGTAATGTTTATTGTAAATATAAAAAAAATCATCGCTTAATTTTTCAATCGTTCGGTTTATGTTGCTTAGTGTCAAAATCTCATAAAGCTATAAGATGTCGTATTTTAAATAATCGTGACGTTATAACTTTATTGAGATATTTTTAATACGTATTGCTGATTATAGATTTTTATATTCTGCGCACAATGCGTCGTCGACCTCTTTTCTTATTAAATATTCAACGAACGGTTCGTTTTTCTGTAAAAACTAATGTTTTATTGAGTTTTTTTTTACATTTCAAAACTTGCCCATACGTTTTTTATTAAACAATATTGAACCAATTTCATTTAATTTGCCGCAATTAATATAAAATTAAAATTAGCTATTTCAAACAAAACGTCGTGTTTTGATAATGCAAATTTTATCAACTATTTTTCGTTTGGCGTGTTTACTCGTTAATATATAAAATAAGAATGGTTTTAAAAAGCCCACATTCGTGTGACTGTGTTCTACAGGTAACATGATAAATAACCGACGTTTCAACATGCTGCGCATTGTAAAATTAATAAATAATAATCGTAGTTCTTTATTATGTCATCGATTTCGACGTGGTAGTNTAAAATTAATAAATAATAATCGTAGTTCTTTATTATGTCATCGATTTCGACGTGGTAGTAGTAACGACTAGTTGACCAACATCGAAAAGCTCTAATGTCTTTATAACAATTATTCGACGGCATTGCGAATTAAATTGTAATCATAGNTGGTAACGCGACTAGTTGACCAACATCGAAAAGCTCTAATGTCTTTATAACAATTATTCGACGGCATTGCGAATTAAATTGTAATCATAGTAGTAATAAAATGTAAAATTCGCCCTTATTACTTTATACTGTTCGANAGTAGTAATAAAATGTAAAATTCGCCCTTATTACTTTATACTGTTCGATGTAATTTTTTACTGTTCCGTCTTCCGGTTATGACCAAGTGAAATGTCCAAGGGACTGTGACTTTGTAATGTTGCGGTCACGCTATATTTAAAATTTCATAAATATTTATCATGCGATTTTTTTATTATTTATAAGGTTGACCGACATACAGCAATGGATTTTTCATGTAAAACAATAATCACCAACAAAAGACAAATTGAATAAATGGTTTTCATGTTCATATGACACAACTGAAACTTATAGAAACAGCAGTACTATGTCATTTGTATAATATCCGTGGGCTTATTACAGATCTAAAATTTCCGTTTTTATTTTTTTTTTTTTGAAGTCATGTTATAACGGTCGAGTTGGTTTATGGCCATTCATTTTTTTTGACAGCGCCTATATTTAAGTATCATCACACAATTCCATTCGTGTCAAATGCCTAATATAATAGTGTGTAATTCTAAGGAAAAAAATTAACTCGTGGACGGTAGGCGTTTTTGCCAAAGTTTGTAGTTGCTTTTTCGTTATTATATTTTTAAACGTTTTACCATGAATCGTCATTTCTATGTCTGCATTTTTACAATGATTCATTGTCTCTGAATTAGAAATTGGTAAGCTTTTTTGACGACGCTTTATTTATAACCAATGAATAAGAAAAAATAAAGTGCTCCAACTATATACATTTTTGTTTCATTATTGTTATTGTAATTATTTACAATATTTTTATAAATGATTCATCATATCATGTTGATTGTGGTAAAATTATGAGTTGATTACAAAAATAAAGTTGGAATTAGTAATTTAAATGGAACTGATTATGGATTCGCTTTAGATTTGTAAAACAGGACGAGGCATAAGTAATTATATTTTTTTCATATTCACAAAGATTTCTGTTTTAATGGTGAAAAAATACATCTGGCATATGATCACTTAGGGAGTTTTGGCAGTCAACTATCTGCTCGCTGCAGTTGACGATCGCTCTAGCAGAGACGTTCCCGATAATTTCACCAAACATACGTTTACTTTCCGTCTTAAGTTCGGCAATGGTTTGAAGATTAAATATTAGATCTGTGCGAATGTAAAAAAAAAAAATAAAATTTGGATAATTTTCACGGAGTTATCCAATTTTTTAAAATATTCATGCCGCATCTGCTTTAAACGCAGATTTTTACCCTCAACATTAAACTAAGAATAAATTCATGACTGCCGTTTGTTTATTTAGTACGTTATGTATATGCAAATTATAAAGGCTGATTGAGATAGCTAATTATTTGAGTGCTTTCCAAATTCCTACCCAAATTTAGTAGTGATGTAATTTATGTTTATGTTTCGTACAACTAAGTTGTATTCGCTCAAATACATGAAATATCTTGACTGACGTTGTACTTGTATAGGTTTGTATTCTATTGATTGATGAGAACCTCAACGTGTGATCGTCTTTATTATTTGATATTTTACAAAATCGTGTTTTCTTGTTTGAATTTGATACGTCGATTTTGTTTAAAAAAAAAACATTTATCTTATGTGTATTAATTTTCCAATAGTAAAGCGCTCGTGTTGTAAAATAATTTTACTACTGACACTATACTGTTCTTATTTTATTACCGAATGTAAAGTAAAAGTCACATTAAATACCTTCTTCCTTTTTGAAAGTAAGTGCTACAGACGCCTACTCGCACGATGAAACCATTTTTTTATGTGCCATGTGTATAAAGTTTATTAAAAAAGCAATTTTACTACAGCTGAAACAAATGTGAACGTTTTAATGTTTTAAAATAATTCCTAAAGTTTATCCTTTTTTATTACTAATACGCCCGTGATACTCTTATATGGTTCATGCGTTCAGTTGACACACAATGGAATTCCATCGGTGTTATCAGATCTGCTGCTGTCACAAAGCTCATTCGCATGTGTTGCGTCAGTGTTCATGTATTATTACTTAGCAGTCAGTCAAATACAGAATGGATGAACTCGAACAAACATTAATACCCATCAACGAAGGTCTGTCTATAGGTAAACAGACCTACGTTGATGATTGTCAATGCTTGATAAAAAACAGTCCTTGTACGCAAATATTTTATTATTAAAAAACCACCTCTTGCAGAGTATTTTATTGAAACATAATTGTTGACGCGGTGTAGCATTTTGGTCACGTATCCAGATATGAAGTTTCGATATAGTCGCATATGTTTTCGTCGAACACTCACCTGCTGATGGAACAATAGTCATTTACTATCTACCGTTTATTGCATTAATTGTAGACCATGTATACTGCACAGATATATGTTATTCGTCACGTTTCTCCCTGTCATAACAGCCGTTTGCTATTCTCTGTCAGAGAATAAGAGCCACTTCTGTTTGGTCCCGAGAGATATTATTCGTGACTAAAATAATATACCACCACGTCTTTCGTATTCTAAATCTGTAGTGTAGTTTAATTAAGCTATAAAGAGTTTAAGTAATAATATTACCAAAATGCCCGTGTGAAGTAAGTGAAGCTGAACTTGAAACATAATAGAATAATCGGTGGTTGTTATTGGATTTGTAAATGTTACTAAATATCGAAAAAAAGTCGAGTTTCATTTTTGAATTTTACATTTGTTAAAAACGTGTTCTAACTTTCTGATTTATTCACATAAATTTCCATTAAAGAAATTTATGTAAATAATAAATAAAAAATTGTTATATCATTGATGATTTACCTAATCAATGTATTTTAATCGTTTTATAATATTCACCATATTATATTTAGATAATGACAGTTAATTGCTGCACTTACAGTAGTATTAAGCTCTACACGCGTATAATGGTTATTTGAATCAATAAAATGTATTAGTACCACAATAGTGTTATCATTGCAAATGTTTGTCTGTATTCATAGCGTGTTATGAAAATGTGTTTGTATTGAGCAACGTATTTTTATTAAAAATACTTTGCATTAAACATTGTCAATTTTGAACTGTAAAATAACCGTTGCGTAAGTTTAATTAAAATTTAGCCTAAATAAAAATATGTGGTCATAAGAAACGCAATCAACCACACATTCGTTTAACTTCATTACAGTAACATTCATTAATTTCTCTTTTTTTTTTTATTAATTCGGTCTTCATAGTGGTGTAAGACGTCGTGTTGAATTTTATCACGCGATGTTATTTTACCTTATTCTTCATTTTGCATGTGTTTGGCGTGCATAACAATATCATGTACGATCAAGATATTCTTAGAATGTCAATAAAATGCTCTTAGACCTAAATAAAAATACATATATATCTATATACATAATAAACTTGAATTTATAGTACAACGAGTACTATATAATCCTTTGAAATGTAATAATCGCTTTAACAAATAAAATGATCTTTATTTACATCCATCTGAATAAACCTACAAAGTTAATTTCAAGTAAGTTGTAGTAACACGAGGACGTGACAGTAATGTTGAGACTCTTTCAACGTTAGTACTTGTCGTATGACAGTTGTTGTTAAGAAGCTAAGGAAAATGCAAACACAGTCAAACAGTAACGTATC